ATCATCACCAGAACACTCCCCTTCATTGTTGTCTCTTTTCCAGACAAACCAAAAAAATTCCATTCTTCCTAATATGCCAAGGAATATTGTCAGTAATGTTTCAATGTCTGGCATGAAGCAGTAAATGACATGGGAGCTATAGATAAGCAAGCTACTTCTCTATGAAAGGGTAGGCTCCGCCCAGGGTTGGGTGAGAAGGTGTTATCTGCAGTCACTGTTCTGGCTCTTAGCAACCAGCAGTAGCTGTCAGTATCACACCCAACCTCCAGTTTCCATTTAAACCTCCACCGCTTGCGTTGGGTCAATAAACAGGGCATCTTTATAAAACACTGCTGTGCCTCAACACCTTCCAAGCAGAGACTGTTCGTCCAAAGAGCAGTGAAATATTCTACTGGTGCCAAACATCTTGAGTACAGTGTGGGTGTGGGGTACAGTCTATATTTGATCGTTAGTGGAAAATACTAAACAATGCCTCCAAATGACCATTACCTGCATATGCATTTCAAAAACATCTCTCTTCCTTGAGAAGCCAGCCCTTGAAAAATTAAGTTTGCTTATCATATATGTTTGCTGGGTCATGGATCTGTGATTTTTTTCCCCAGAGGTTCTCTTTCATGTCCATTGACTCATTCAACTCATCCCTGCCATCAATCAGAAGCAAAATACATGTTCCCTCAAGGGCCCCTATGGTTTTCACAGAAGACACGTTTATTTAGCCCTTGAGTTCTTTTGTACCAGGGTGTCTGAGGAACTCCACATGGCAATCCACATAGACCAAGGTCACTGAATCCTTCTCTTGGTTTAAAGCAGATTAGAGCCTACATTTCCTTAAGATCCTATTAGGTATACGTTTTAGCAGTGGTCCATGAAAACCTATCTGACTCAACATTATGGAACTAAATTAAACCTCTCTGCATTCACCAAATGTTCTGCCAGAAGGCATCTTTGTGTTTGTCAAGGTAGATAAACAGAATGTTTCCCTTTACAGCCAAGCCTCGTTTAAAGGCACATTGAAAAGCTTAATGATACACATTACTACCAGATGTCCTTTCCCCAAGTCATCTGGATTTCTTAGGCTATTTATCACTATACTTTCTGCCAGAACTCTTGCTCTGAAATCTATTTACTCAGAAAAGAATTTCAGCTTCACCATCTATTAAATCTGAATAGACCAGAAACCAATTTGTTTAACTCAATAAACAGTTCTGGGCTCCAGAAGTAGACATTCGCCGCTTAAGGATCTGGGTCAGTGTTACCCAGAAAGTGATAACGTGGGTCCCCAGGACAGCTGAATCCCTGCAGTAAATAAGCCTCTTCACATTCTTTGGAGGCCAAGCCACAGACTTCAGGGATGGCTCTCTGACCTTTGCTCCGCACCGAGCGTTTCTCACACATTCCTGAGAGACTTGGGTGGATCTGCACACATTCTTGTCCGCGGTGCAGCCTGCCACATGCTTAAGTGGCTACTCCAAAGATTTTATGATCATGTAGATCTTCATTAGCCTTTATTTCAGTCAGAATATTTATTTGCTTTTCAGCAGCACACATGGTTTAAGACAAATACAGTAGCTCTTTTTTCAGTCAAGTCTACAGCATTATTCTGACATTGCCACCTTGCCCCTCCAAGGACTTCCAAGTTGACAAAACTAGACGAGGTCCCAATGGAAAGTCACTGCCAGCCAACACCGTTTGACTCAGCCCGTTTCATAAACAGCAATGTTTCCTTCAGACCTGGACTTAAAGACTTAATTTTGCCTGCTCTCCACCTCCATTTCTACTTACTGCCCAACAGGGCTCCTTTCCATTGCCCAGAGATCCCTCCGCTTTCACCTGAGGCTGTGTTCACGACCCCCCACTCCCTCCCCCACCACTTCTCCAAAACACGTGTGTATGGCCACGTGGTTACATCGAGGACGAATTTGCCCGTATTTCCTTTCTGCACATCTTTTTGCCCTCTCTTCTCTCACCAGGAATGAACAGATAAGTATAACACAACATGATTGATGAGACAGCAGAATTTTCATTTTTAAAAGTTTAAAAACACATCTCTTTAAGTTTACGCCCTTAAATTTCCATTGGCAGCAATACACAAGGTTGTAAGTTTTCTTCGTAGACTACGTTTTTGCTTTGAGGTTGCAGACCTTATTTTGAGATTGCACTTTCACACACTTCATTTGCACTCTGATACAGTTTTAATTTTTTCAACAGTTTTCTTACACAGTATTAGCAAAGATTGCAAATTCAAGTGCTGGCAGCATCTTAGAACGTATCATAAATGTGTTCTTTGGAGGTGGTGGTGACCGGGCCAAGTCAGAGAGTGCATACCTCGTCTGAGGAGGAATGCAATGCTGTTCTAGGAAATGCAGGCCCATTCCTAACAGCTAATATAAATTATCCAGAGGAGCTAAACAGTCGAATCTTTTTTGTGTGTGAAATCTCCCAATATTTAAATATTAGCATCTACATCAAATATTTTAAAACATGTTTCGATCGAATTAAACACACCGATCACTAGTTTGCAAGGGTTATAAAGTACAGTTGGGGTGTGGTGGGGTGGACGGACCACGCTGAGCCAGGACCCTGAGGTGAGAGTGCTCACAGGAAAAGGGCAGATTCACCAGCAAGAGACAGAAGGAAGGGGTTCAGACTCAGCTCCGTATGTGTAGGTCAGAGTTTCTTAACTTCGGCCTCCTTGATCTGCGGGATAAGACAATTTTTTCCTGTAGGGGGCTGTGTATTTTAGGATGTTTAGCAGTATCCCTGGCTCAGATACCAGTGGCACCCATCTGCCCCTTCCCTCAGCCCCTGTCATCATAACCAACAGAGCCTCTACACGTTGCCAAATATCCAAGGAGGCAAAACTGTCCTGTGTTGAGAATCACTGGAGTAGATGTTGTGGTATAAGAGATGGGAGTTGCTGTCAGGGTGTTGTCTCCTGAGTTGGTAGGTGAAGAGTCTAACTAATTGGGAGCACGGAGGCATGGAGCCTGAAAGAGGGCAAATGAGAAAGGTCATGGAAATGTGGTAATAGAGGCCAGCATTCTCCCGAGGACTAGCAAGAACTAACGATACAGCAGCCCCAAACTGGAACCCCTGGGAAAGGCCTAGGAACAAAGCAGTACCCAGTTACTCAGATTAGAGAATGGAGTAGAGGTAGGTCTATGAGGCCAAGAAGACTCCTGGGTTATGCTTTGAACTAGGAACATGGTTGAGTTCACATTTACGGCAGAGCACAGCTCGTGAGAGTGGAAAGATCCAAGCTGTGGGGATTAGATCAATGATGAGGCAGGGATATAGGGGTCTTGGAACCAGAGGTGGCAGGAAACAGGATGAGCGACATTTATCAGGGAGTTTATTCTCCCTTCCCCCTAATGGACCAGGGGCTTTGTCCTGCTTCAAAGAATAGCTCTGGGTGCACTCTCACTCCCAGGAGCGTGCCCACACCTTTCCCTTCCACCTCTTCTTCCCCCACAGACGTGCATCTCCTAAACTCCAAGGGACCCCACAGCACTTACAACCAGGGGGTGATAGGCATCAGCAGCTCGTCCCAGGCTAACCCCCTGGACCCATCTCCAAGGCCCCCTTCTCTCTGACTTCCCAGCAAGCCAACGCAGCCCTGCTTGGGCTCTCTCCTGCTGTTTCTTCTACCCTGAGCCCTTCCTTGTTTCACTGTCCTCAGATTTAATAAAAGTATTTGCAAAATAATAATTTAAAAATAATAATAGCTCTGGTCCTAGGTGCTGATTTATTATTTTGTTTTTCTTACCAAGGTCCTCCTTGATAACTCTTAATAGAAACCCAGCAGAGTTAGTTAGGAACTATTTTTTCTAGAGAAAAAAGCATTGTCCTAATCTCTACAGTCAATCTTCTACATCAGTTGGGCAGAGAAGGAAGCGAAGGTCTCTGGAGAGGCCGTTGAGTGTTAAATCTGAGGGTTTGCCTCTCTGGGACCAAGGGGTGAGTCGCTCACAGGGGCCAACTCAGAGTATCTATTTCTGTTTTAATGTATAGTTTCCCCCTTTAGTATTGAGAAGCTCGATGTTTGTTTTTCTTTTTTTTCTGGTGTGTTTTAAAAAATGTATTTTATTTATTTATTTTTAGAAAGAGGGGAAGGGAGGGAGAAAGAGAGGGAGAAAAACATTGATATGTGGCTGTCTCTTGCACATGCCCAGTCAGGGACCTGGCCCACAACCCAGGCATGTGCCCTGACTGAGAATCAAACCAGCCACTTCTCAGTTCACAGCCGGCACTCAGTCCACTGAGGCACACCAGCCTGGGTGAAGAGCTCAACGTTTCTAAGAATTTGCCTGTCCCAGGAGTCACAAACTTGCAGCTGGGTTGACTATGGCCCACAGCTATTTTGTTTAAAACAGTAATTTAGGACTTGGAAACTTTTCACATTAAAATATAAATATCCAGCAATTCTTCAAAAACTCTGGCAATGCTAAGTGCTCATTTCCCACATGGAAACAAATGGTTGGAACAGACTGGCTGCTGTTCACTGAACGCAAGTCCACTGCTCTTTGGTTCACCCAGATCCCATTGTCTCCTGACCTGGACTGCTGCACCCATTAAAGCATACTGCTCCTGGAGACACTTAAATCATGAAATAAAGGGCAGAGGGCATCAACTCTGCCAAACAGCACAGGTCTAGTATCATCACAACTAGACCTATGCTGCCCCTTGTTTTCTCATAAAGCCCCCGTCCTACCAGCCCAGGATAGTCCATTGCAAAATCTCCCATATTCAGTCTCCATGGTTTAAAAGGGTGTTCTTAAAAGCACTGGCTGTTTCCTCTGCCTTGATAATTTGCTTTGAGAATTATCAATATGACACTGAAGTTCACCAAGATTTGCACATCAAGAATATAATCACAAGTACTACTCAGAAATCTACTATTTCCAGTTCATGAAATGAAATATTTTTATCCTTATGTGCCTATTCACTGAACATTTCTTGTTCTTTTAAAAATGGTTTTCTTTTTAAACTTGCTTCTATAGGTTTCTTCATTCTCCACCTTCTCAAGGTCATGGAAGATCTAGAAGCAACATTATTTGAAGAATTTGAGAACTACTCCTATCCCACAGAATATTACTCCCCAGAGTCTGATGTGGAAGAGAAAATACCCCTGGGAGTGGTTCACTGGGTCTCTCTGGTGTTATATTGTTTAGCGTTTGTCCTGGGCATTCCAGGGAATGCCATTGTCATTTGGTTCACAGGTTTCAAGTGGAAGAAGACAGTCACCACTCTCTGGTTTCTCAATCTAGCCATTGCGGATTTCATTTTTCTTCTCTTCTTGCCCCTGTATATCTCCTATGTGGCCATGAATTTCCAATGGCCTTTTGGCCTCTGGTTATGCAAGGCCAATTCCTTCATTGCCCAGCTGAACATGTTTGCCAGCGTTTATTTCCTGACGGTAATTAGCCTGGACCGCTATGTGCACTTGATCCATCCTGCCGTAGCTCATCGGCACCGAACCCTGAGGAACTCCCAGATTGTTATTGTACTCGTTTGGCTTTTGGCCGCTATAATGGGTGGTCCGTCCCTATACTTCCGGGACACCGAGGAGCTGAATAACCACACTATTTGCTATAATAATTTCCACAAGCATGATCCTGACATCGCTTTGATGAGGCACCACGTTCTGACCTGGGTGAAATTTATCTTTGGGTACCTCTCGCCTTTACTAACAATGAGCATTTGCTACTTGTGTCTCATCTTCAAGGTGAAGAAGCGAAGCAACCTGGTCTCTAATAAGTATTTCTGGACCATCGTCGCTGTGGTCTTGGCCTTTTTTATTTGCTGGACTCCTTACCACCTGTTCAGCATTGGGGAGCTCACGATTCATCACAGTAGCAATTTCCACCAGGTGCTGCGGGCTGGAATCCCCCTCTCCACGGCCCTGGCATTCCTCAATAGTTGCTTGAATCCCATCCTTTATGTCCTAATTAGTAAGAAGTTCCAAGCACGCTTTCGCGCCTCGGTTGCTGAGATACTGAAGTACACGCTGTGGGAAGTCAGCTGTTCTGGCACGGCGGGCGAACAGCTTAGGAACTCTGAAACCAAGAACTCGGGCCTCCTGGAAACAGCCCAGTGAAATACTACTCTTCCACACGTCGGGATCAGGCTTTTGTGTGGGTCCCCTGACAAATGCCTTCAGATGACTTGGTCCCAAGATACAGAGCGGGCCGTAGCGTTTCGTTGTTGTTTTTGGTTAGTTCGTTGGCATCACATTCTTATGTGGATATAACATTGAGGAAAGATTTTCATTTTTTCCCTGTTACTTAAATTATGTGTCATTGTTGCTGATTATACTATAGTGCATTAATCATGGGTGTTGAGGTAATTTCAGTTATTATTTTATAAATCTTAACAAATGTCTCTAAGTCCTAAATCTTAATATTAAATATGTGATTAACTCATTTCAAAAATAGGAAAATAAGTTTCCTTAAGCCTTTTAATTTTGTACAAGTAACCTGTTAGAAAAGTTCTTAAAATGTAACATGTGCACTTCTTAATTTCATGTAACCTTTGTATATACATTTATGAATTAAACTAATAGTTGATTACAGTAATTAGTTTAAAGCATTTTTCCAGTTGATAGTTATTAATGCTTCGTAAACTGCCCCAAAATCTAGTTGCTTAGAAACAAAGATTTATTACTGTGCTATCTCACAGCTCAGAGTCAGGAATTCGAACAAGCACAGAAGGGAGGCTCCTCTGTGCTTTACAATGAATGCCTGGAACCTCAGCTGGACTGCGGGGACCCAAATGGCTGAGGTTCCCAGCAGCTGGGGTTGGCTGAGCAGCTCTCTGCCCTTCCTTCTTCTCTCCTCTCCTCCCCCCACTCTCCTCTCTTCTTTTCTCACACAGCTGTTCTATCATGGCACTTCTGGATAGCCAGACTTCATATAGAGCAATTTAGGGCTCCAAGAGACCAAGGCGGACATTTCTAGTACTGTTAGAGCTATGCTCAACACAGACATTGTATCACTCCCATAGTACCCTATTGGTCAAAGCCATCATAAGCCTTTTATTTCCATAACAGTCTTTATATAGACACCAGTATAAAACCAATAAAGCACCCCTGGCTGGTGTGGCTCAGTGGATTGAGCGCTGGTTCAATTCCAGGTCAGGGCACATGCCTGGGTTACCAGCCAGGCCCCCGTTTGTGGGCGTGTGAAGGCATCTGACTGATGATTGATGTATCTCACACATCAGTGTTTCTCTCCTTCCCTTCCTCTCTCTCTAAAAATAAATAAATAAAATCTTTTAAAAAAAAGACCAATAAAGCACACCTTTAAGTCAGGTGTACATCTGTCGCATATTAGACTGTAAGAATATTTTGACCTATATTCATTATTCCATTTAGCAAATAAGTGAATATCTAAGAGGTATGCAAAGCTAAACAGGTATTGTGAGGGATGCCAAGAACCATAAAGTACTCATAGTTTAGAAAGTGAGATGAAATTTGCATAAAAACAATCACGAAACAAAGCAGGCTGTACTAAGCGCCAAAGAGAGCCAGGAAAGGTGCGCCTTGTTCTGAGTGCTGAGAGATGGCATCCGGCGGGGAGGGGAGGGAGCACAGGAAGCCTCTGTCCTGCCTTGGGGCTTCCCTGCAGTCCTGGTCCTACCTTTTGTCTCTGCTGGCATCCTCCTCTTCGTGAAGATAAACTCTGCTACTCACTGCGATTTAAAATATATGTTTAGCCTTGGTTGGTATGGCTCAGTGGATTGAGCACTGCCCTTTGAACTAAAGGGTCACCAGTTTGAAAACCAGTCAGGGCACATGCCTGGGTTGCAGACCAGGTGCCCAGTTGGGGGCATGCAAGAGGCAACTGATTGATCTGATGTTTCTCTCCTCCCTCCCTTTCCCTCTCTCTAAAGATAAATAAATAAAATATTAAGGAAATAAAAATAAATTTAAAATATATTTAATTTTCTACAATTTCTCAATTTTAATTTGGACATTGTGAGGGGAGTGTTATTTCTTGAATCAGTATCCTTTTTAATTTCATCTCTTATTAATTTCATCTACTATCAGGTCATTTATTGTCTATGTTCTTTACTATGAGCCCCATGCAACAATCAGGTCTGGCTTTGAAAATTATTCCAAAAAATGTGTGGCATAGCTCAGTCTACCCAAACTTCTGCTATTCCTAGACCTCGTGGTTTCTGTCATATCCAGTATAGATTAAGGGGAGGAAGGGAGAGAAAAACTCTTTGTGAGCTTCTGGCCCTCTGTCCAGCATTTACCTTTTTCCTCTGCCCGTGGTTTGAGATATTCCACTCTGGGTCCCCCCTTGTCCCTGGAGGAACAGGTCCTGGGTTCCCAGAATCAGGAGAAAAGCTGGAGGATCCAAGAAGAAAAAAAAGAGGGAGAGCATCATAGTCTCCTCCTTTTTGAGCAAATGGAGACTCTCAAGGCTGCAGGGGAGAGAGGAAGGCTGAGGAGCAGTGAGGGCAGAGGAAAATGAAGGGAGCAGGGGTTTTCCTGGAAGTCACATTTCAGGGCGGTGCTTCCTGACCTCTGTGGGTTAGGGATCCCTGCAAAGCCGCTCTACGCACTCGGTTAATTGGGCACTTGGTTAATCTCGGGCCCTCAAGCTTTCCAAGGGCCTAAGGAAATATTCAAGATCTTAAAAAATAATTATTGGCTCTAGAATACAAAAAGAGAACTGGGAAAGTCAAAAGGAATACTTAATTGCATGCAATAAAATATACCTTTATGGCGCTTGGTCAAATGAAGTGTTTAGTAATTATATAAAAACATATTTAACATGGGATTTCAGTATGTTTCAATGCTTGGTATGAGGCATGGGGCTTCCCAAAAGAAAAGTGCTTTGAGAAGGTCTACGAAGGTCTTAGAGGAACTTTGAATCCCTGCAAGAATCTGATGAAAGTCATGTGTCCTTTCTACAGAAAAATGCCTTTAAATAAAATACCAGGGAGGCCTTAGATCCCAGGATAAGAACTCCAGCTTCAGGAGTTTTTAAAATAGATGGTAGCAGGCATGTTGACAGGAATTCACTAGGGGAAAGCAGCAACCAGTACAGGCACTTTGCAGCAAACACAGGACTTGCTTTCATTCTCAGTTTGAGGGAAGATCCAAGGAGTAATGGGGGACCCACACTTAGATCCAGGACTGGGGCCTCCTCCCCTGGCAGGTGGAATCTGGTTAGTGAGGCTCTCTCGAGGGATAATGACGAAGAGCAGGATGAAGGACGAGAAAGACAGAGGCTGGAGGCTGGACGAGCGGTTCAGCAATTTGGGGAAGAAGCGAAGGAGCCTGGTGCCTATTTGGCAGGAGAGAAAGAATCCCAGGAAGCTCAGGGACTGGGGTGTAGACCCAGGGAGACCTGCCTTTTCCTCAATGGAAGGAAGCTCTTAGGAACAGAGCATAAGTCCCAAGGCCTCCGGAGGCAGAATATCTGGATTTGAATTACGGCTGCAACACATCCTAGTTCTGTGACCTTGGCTAAACTCAGATTTCTAGACCTCAATTTTCCCCATCTGCAAAATGGGAATAGCAATGGTATCTGCCACACGGAGTTGTTGTGAAAATTAAATGAGTTGCTGCGGGTATTTGTAGGGCATTCCTGAAAGCACTTAGAGTGGTACTTAGCTCTATAGATAGCTACCTGATAAAAAATTAGCTGGTATTAAACTTACTCAATGAAACTCCTACCATATTCTGACATAGTAACTGTTTAGTAAATGTTAGATCCCCTCCTCCTCTTGCATGAACATACAAGTCTCATAGGAGGCACACAGACAACTTTAAAACAAGACAGTTCATAAGTACTGTAAAAGAATATATGTGCTGGGAGGCTGCAAGGCGCAGGAAGGAGCAGAATTTAAAAAGGCTTCTTGCAAGAGGTGTTTGAAGTGCATTTTGAAAAATGACTACCATGTGACAAAGTGCAGGTGCGGAAAGAGGTTATTTTAGGTAGATGGCACAGCAAGAACAAAGGTAGAGACTGGAAAACATGGGCTGTGTTCAGAAAAGGGCAAATAGTCCCATTTTACAGGAACAAAGTGAAAATAGGAGATTCAGAGCTGGTGTCAAGCTTGAAGAGTAATCCACAGTTCTTTCCTATGTTTATATATGGGCAGTAGGTCTTTTGGGGATGAATGTTTAGAAGTCTGTGGGCATTCTCTTTTGATTTTCACTTTCCTGAAGGTTGTACAGGCCAGTGAAGTTCCAAATGACAGGCTCTTATTTGGGACATTTCTTGAATGCACCTATTATCAAACGGGGCATGTAATGAGAGAATGTCTGTTTATCAGTCTCAGTTTCCAATTTAGGTTTACCCTTATGTGATATCTTCTCACGCTCCCTAAGTGAAGATATGAAGCACTGCTGAAATAGGATTAAACTGTATAAAAGCAGAGAAGAAGAACTTTTCCCACTCTATTACCGACACATTATTGGACTCTGAAGACCTGGATTTGAGTTCTTCCTCCTCTCACTGGATGAATACCCAGGCACATCATCTTTCAGAGCTCAGTCTAACCTGTCAATGGTGATAACAGTGTCTGCCTAATCTCCTAGGCTTATAATAAAGTTCAAATTAGACAACATGTAGGAGCCATTTATCTATATATTTTAGTTTTTTATTCTAAGGAAAATAGTTGCCATTGCTGAATGGTATTTGGAAAAAATTACGCATGTCTCAAAACACGAATGCAACTCTTTTTGTATTTGCGTCTTTGTCTATAAGCTTATCTTTTGATAATAACAATATAAAATCAAGCATTTTTCAATGTTGCTATCGTCTCCATTTTTTAAGTAATTCTATTAAGCTTACAAAAGATTTCATTGAGTATATATGCCATCGTTTAATCATTTCCATTTATGTTGGGATTATAACAGTCTTATTTACCTGCCTCCATCCACCGCATCTCCAAATTTCCCCATGAATGCGCCAGCCTATTATTCAAATGCCTCACAACCTGGCCCCATCCTGTCTAATCCAACACACTGCGAAATGCAGCCGAATTGGTTGAATGGCCTCCGGAACGTTCCTGGGTTTATCACTCTGCCTTTCATACCCTCCTGGGACATTCTCTCTCCCTCTCTCCTTTTAACAAACTGGTCAAGGTCTATCTAGTTTAAGCTCTGATTTCTCTAAAAAACTTTTCTTCAATTCTAGCTTATTTGTGAACTTTTGGGTTATCCGCTTAATCACAAAATGACTTTTATACTTTTTCAACAATTTTGTATGTGTTTGAACCACCTCCCTAGTAATTTTCTTTGTAATTTTTTATAGCAGCTAGGAGTGATGCTGAATGAATCATTTTTTAATTCCCTCCCACACCATACCCAACCCTGTGCCGGGAGGCTGAACCTGAAAAATAAACAAGGTTTCAGTTATTGTAATCATGTATGGGGCATGCAAATAGAGGTGGCCACTTATTTTTTCTGTCTTCCACTCCAAAGGCAGAAACCGGGAAAAAAAAATCTTTCTCTCTACATATACCTATGCCCCCAAGCCTATGGGTTCAAAAAC